TGTTATTTCATGTTACCAAGGAGAAGAAATATATTTTATAAACAAAAATTTAAACCCGTTATCTTGTCTTACGAGTCGATGGATCAACAAATATATTATTATGGCTTGTTGAATCATGGAGGTAAGGATGTTATGGTTGAATTTTGGAGATAAGAGATTAACATTTTTTTTACTCATAATATCAAATATTTCATAAAAAATCATAGTATATAGTCTAATGGTTGGTGCTAGTATCGTCATCGTGTGGATTCAAATTCTTGTTAAACAAAAAAAAGTTCCTCATGCATTTTGTTGAAAGAAAAAAAAAAAAGTTTAATGGGCTGATAATGGGCTAACATTCAACAGATAGAAGCCTAACAACATCTAGAAGATGAAGTCCACATAACTCGCCTTTTGCTGTTTATCTCTACTTTCAGGAATCTTCTTACGAAAACTCGTAGCCGGAGATCGGAAGCTAAAACTACGGGAAGAATCAGCCGGAAGAAATGGCTTCGCTAGGTTTCAACCTCGGCTTCTCCTTCTCTAATGTACAAATTCAGCATCGAAAAGTTTCCGGTAGTGGAAGGGCTCGCGTTTTCTCCTGCAGCTCTTCTTCTTCTCAAGCATCTCCGCAGGGGATTTCTACCGCCGCGACGCCTCCCGAGATAGAGCTCGAGTTCTTCGGTGTAATGCGATTTCGATTTGAGTTTTGATTACAAGTCGTTTCAATACTCAAAATGTAATCAAAACTCAAAAGGGATTTTTTTCTCGTTTTTGGTGGTTTTTGTGTATTGCAGCCGAAGCCAGGGAGCGACGGGTCGTATCCTGTGGATAAAGCTAAAGCTGTGAGTGGCGAGAAGCTTCTGAGAAGCATTATGCAGGATAACAAAATCGAACTGTACGCTACTTACGTGAGTTTGCTCTCAGTTTTGGCTACATTGAGGTTTTGATTTGATGTTTAAAATGGGCTGTACGAAAATTCTTGAACAATTCGCCACTGAATCGAATATTTAGCTTTGTATTAGGAGATGATTTGTTGAAGGCTATTGTTAATCTTGAGATTAAGTTTTGGAATTAGCTCAATTTGTGATGGTTTAGGGAAAAGTGATGAACTGTGGAGGTGGAGGAAGCTGTGGAACTTGCATTGTCGAGGCAAGTGGACTTCATATCCTTCATGCTATATTTCTTGATTATCATTATGAATTTATCATCAGCTTAGAATTCATGGATATCAATGGAGGAAAAGAGAAATAAAGAGTGTTATTGGTTATAGAGTAACCATGTGATACTGTTTGATGCAAGAAATCTGATGCCTAGATTTAAGTTATCTGTTGCTTTTGGTTCTATGAATTTGACTCTGCTGCAGAGTTCACATTTAATGATGTAGATGAAAGAATCGTAGAAGTTGTTCATTTTCGATTTGTGTCTTGTCTGTTTATGATGAGCAATGCTCAAGCAAAAGCACATTTGGATTTGGTCTTTTTGTGTGCAGATATTAGATGGCAGAGATCTTCTGAACGAGAGAACAGATACAGAGAACCGGTATCTTAAAAAGGTTAGTTATTGTATCACACCTATGTATATATTTAATTCACCTGATTCTTTAGTACTAGAGTTTGGATTCATTCGGAGAGTTTGGAATGGGTATGTGCACTAGCAAGATGAATCAAATAGACTTACTATGCATTGTTTCCGGTTGAAATTGTAACTTGTATATGGTTTGTTTGATATGGTGACTAAGTTAATTTCCTAGACCCTTCTTACATATGCAGATTCAGAGAAAATAAAATCCTGGTCTGTATAAAATCTCAAGGCCTTGTTGTTATTGTGCAGAAGCCGGAATCTTGGAGACTTGCATGCCAGACAATAGTAGGGAACAAAGAAAACTCAGGAAAGGTACATACTTTAAGGCCTTGATTATGATTGCCAACACTCATGTAACCATTTGTTGGATCAATCTTTATCATAAGTTTTAAGATGAAAAGATTTTGAAATATTTCGAATGATCTTCTCATTGAGGACAATCACAATTGTGTTTAGGTTATCGTGCAGCGGATCCCGCAGTGGAAGAAGTGAGTCCATGTAAGGTTCTTCTATTTAGTTCATATTTATATATGTCTATAACATATCTGTGTGTATTTTGTGATTCGTGTAATCCTGTTTTACCTATCTGTAAAAATTGTTAAGAATCAGAAAGAAAAGTTCAAGTTAGAATGAAAAAAATATGTTTGAATAATAAATTGCATCAACAAAATCTACCTTGCTTCATCGAATTTGGGCTCTTAACGAACACGTATGTTGGGCCTTGGGCTTATGATATCTTCCGCTCTCTATCAACCCAATTTCCCCAGCTTTAATTACAGTGAACAAATCGCATATAATAAGCATGGAATTTCTTGATTAAAAAGAAAATGGCAATACATATTTGTGTTTTTGACTTTTGTTTTCTTTAATTTAATTTACGCGTATACATGTATAAGGAAATAAAATCAAATTATAGAAGTTTGTTAAGGATTCGAACCGTTTTTTTATGACAAGTATTACAGTCACATTTAGGTCATTATTACACGCCGCACCGAAAAGCAAGGGTGAAGAAACCAAAAGGTAAAAAA